GTTGTTGCACGTGGTGCTGCCATTGATGTTGCTGTTGTTGTTCGCGCTGATACCATTGTTGTTGTTGTTGTCCGCACTGCTGCCATTGATGTTGCTGTTGTTGCTCGAGCTGCTGGAAATTTTGATGTTGTTGCTGGCGCTGATGCCATTGTTGTTGTTGCTGCTGCTGCTGTGGCACGTAACAAGCGTTATAGCTGGTTCTGTTGTTGTTGATGATGTTATTGTTGTTAGTGTTGCTCATGGGGTTGCTGTTGGTGCGATTGTTGATGTTGCTGTTAATGATGTTGTTGTTGTTGTTAAGGTTGTTGCCGTTCTTAATGTTGTTGTTAATGTTGTTGTTCTCAGTGTTGTTGTTGTTGTTCTCGATGTTGTTGTTGTTATTGTTGTTGTTCTCAATGTTGTTGTTGCTATTGCTAAACATGCTTTGAGTATAACTGTTTGGCTGCACATTGTCGTTTGCAGCATATGAAGACTTATCCTTGTTTATGTTTTGACCATCATTGGCACAGTGGTCCCATTGCTTCTTCAAATTTCCCACCCACTCGCTCTCAGTGGAATTTGCTTGCGGCTGGAACGTGTCGGCTGCCCATATAGCTGCTTGGTACTGTTGGCATTTAGTCTGATTAGTTGCTTCATTTTCGTAATGCTTCACCTGGTATTCAGATGCTTTTTTAATGGAAATTTCGTCGCCTATAGGCACAGGCCATTGTGGTCCCTCGCATTCCTTACTCCCTTCCGAATCCGTTTTCGGTTCTGCTTCCACAGTCAACGGTGGCGTTGACGTCGGCGTTGACGACAAAGTTGGCCATGGCGATGGCGTCGGCGTGAGCAACAAGTCATCAATGTCCAACAGTGGCGGCTGTTCCAATGGCAAGTCTATCGAAGAGTCCATTGAATCTTCCAGTTGGACTTCTTTCATTAAGTCAGTGCTGAGCGCCGTCTCATTTCGTTTTGATTTACGGGCACGAATTCGCCGCTTTCGGCGGCGTCTCTTCTTTGCGTCTGCTCTCTTTTTCTTCACATCACCTTCCAATGCGGCCTTGACTTCAAGTGAGTGGGTGACGCAGGCTTCTTGTTCTGCTAACGAGCGCGCGACGCAGGCTTTGGAATCTGCGGCTGGTTGAGCAGCGCGACGCTTTTGATTCAGTCGCTGCTGCCGGCGTCGCTGAGTTTTAGTTAAGCGGTTCGCTGCAGGCCCTGGAAACTCGCTCTTCTTTTCCTCCTCATTCTTACTGCGTTGATGTTTCATGTTCACCAGCAACAAAGCAAATCAAGTGAATCACGTGCACCAGACCGAATTCAAAATGGCGCGCAAGCAAATGCTGAGTAAGTTCTTGTTAAAAGCTGCGCTGCGTTCTGCTGTGTCTTTTATGTCTGCTTACAACGTAAACGCAACGCAAATTATGTAAAACGTAGAGCACAAAATAAAAAAAAAATATTTAAACAAAAAACAAAAAAAAAAAGGGAAAACTAACAAGAAAAAAATTCAATTCAAAAAATTTATCTGAGCTTGTAGCGCAGCTCGCTCACTCGATAAAACTGCGCGTGGGTGTTGGAAAATGTGAAATCGCCACCACGGTAAGCTTAACAGCACTGGAAACGGTAATTTTTGCCAACATCCTATGCTAATATTATTGGCCTATTCTGTAAACAATTTAGATACTCTTCATTAATATATGACTAAAAATAATACAAATTAATACAAATTTAATGAAATGCTGTATTATATTAATCATTAAAATCCATTCAGTGTTTAATTATAACAGCGTCTGCAAATTTTTGCATTTTGGGCTGTTAAACTTAACAGAAGTCTGTTGCCCAACGATTGAGGTTGCGGTGCGGCGAATTGCGCACAGCGCCAAATACAAATGGCGAGAAGCAGAAGTGCGCGCGTAGTTTGAATAAGTAAAAATATTGTTTTTTTTTTTTTTAAATATTACAATTTTGGTTTTTTATTTTGATTTATCAACTACTGTTACGGTAATTGCATATTAAATTGGTTGTTTGTTTTTGTTTTGCTTAAACTTTAATAAGTGTACTTGGTTTTTGCTGCTGCGGTTGATGTTTTTTCATTCATATCTCATCTCGTTTTGTTTAATTATTAATTATATTTGTACAAAATATATAATATATATATTTTTATTACTTATATGTAAATTGTTTTGTTACCTTTACTATGTTAATGAACAATTTCGTTTTGTTATCAATTGTTGATTTTGCAGTTTTATCCCTTTTTGTTTTTGTTTTTGTTTTTTTTCTTGTTGCTTAACTTCAGCTTAAAACTTAATTCTGTTTGTTTTTGTATTAAGTTTTTCATTTTTTATTTTTTATTTGCTTATGTTTTGCACTACAATAACGCTTAACAAAATATAATTATTAACTATGCTTCTTCTTCTCTTCTTAAATCCTCTAGGCGCATGTGTTCGTTTCATATTGTTGTTGTGTTTGTTGTTGTTGGTTTACTTTTTCTTTTTTGTTTTTCTGTATATTATTTATAATATTTATTGCAAGATTGCTGCTTCTTGTTGTTGTCGTTTGAAAAATTTAACTATAATTTAAGGGTTTTCCTGCTTCTGATTCTACTTCTCTTTAGTTGTATATATATAAAAATATATATATATATATGTGTGTGTATATATATTTGAATATATAATTATCGATATACATACGAATATGCATGTGTATGTGTTTGTCTGTCTGTCTGTGAGTTTGTTCTTTTTTTTATTAAATATAAATTTGCATTTTATTTACAGCGTTGAAAATGTTTAACAATACATATATACACACATGCACATACATACATGCATACGTATATGCATGCATAATTGTATATATATAGGCATGTATAAATTTCTTAATAATTTTTTGAATTTAATAATTACAAATTTGAGTTGCTCACAATAAAATTGCGCTTTACGATATTTAATATATTTTCGTTTCATTTGCTTTTTGTTAAATTTATTTATTTACTTGTTGAAAATACCCTTGCAACAGTTAATACAGACTTTTCATGGATAATGAAAACAAATTTCTTTTGGTTTTTGTATACAAAAATCAAATTAATTACAAATAAATTAAGTCATTTTATTATATATTGAAACAGTTATTACTATGAGTTTATTTAAACTGAAAATAAAACTGTATATATGTTTAATTTTGTTGCTGATAAAGTAATGAAATAAAGAAAAACGAATTTAGTAAATATTCAAAATTTTGAGTGCATAGAATTAATTAAAATAAATAAGAGAATAAAATTTTCAGAAAATAAAAATGTAAATTTCATACAACTCTACTTATAAAAAAAAATATATAAATTAAAATAATAATAAAAAAAAAAAACACTTTCTAAATATAATGTTAAATTAAAATATATTTGTTAAACTGTCCTTTCTTGACTAAACCTCGAATATCGTATTCATTAGCAACTCAATTGCAAGGGCATTTGAAAAATTCGTCGTCGTCGAATTTAGTTTTTAATATTAATTGATAACTTAAAATTTGACTACGTTATTTTGTTTTTATATTAATATTAAAATAATATTAATAATATTTCCTTTTTTTCTGTTTTTTTGAAAGATTAATGCTTTGTTTCCCCAGAACCACGTTTTGTTTCATATATGGAAGTACACAATATATATATATATATATATTTGTGTTAAATTGTTGCTTACCATTTGTTTTCTTCATGTTTTTAGTTTGTTTTTCGCTTTGATTTTTTAATTTTGTTTTTCGCTGCGTTTTGCTTTGCTTCTCTCTTCGTTTTCGTTTTCGATTTCGCTTTGCTTTGCCTTTACACCAAGCCGAAGTGATGCCCATTAGGCACAAAACAGTGCTGCCCATTTTTCACATTCAGATCAAGGACTTACAATTAGTTTATTGCATTTTTTGCTTGTTTTAATACGATGTTCGGCTTATTGACTAAAACTTGATTTTTCGCTTTGGCATATTAAAAAATATATGTATATGTATATATGTATATATATGTATGTATATGTCGGATATATGTATGTACATTGTATATTGGTTGATTTCGCTTCAAAAATTTTGTTTTCGAAGGGGCGGGGGCATTGTTTTTTTACTGATTAAATTGCTGTTTATTTTTCGTTTTTTTTTTTTTTTTTATTATTTTATTTTTTTTTAATTTGAACTCGTTTAAGAACTACTAATGCACTATTAGTTGATGCGTCTGTATATATATGAATATATATATATATCTTGATACTTGTGTGATTCTTCAGGCACAAAAACCGGGCGACGGGGCGAAAAATAATCAAAACCAACCAAAGAAAAAATAAAACAAAATCAAAAAACTTTTGCATATATAAGTGAGATATATTTTAAATACATAATATGTATATATGTATATATATATATATAGTAATGTACATATATATATATCTCTTTCATTCATGAAATTTTGTTCTAAAAACGTGATTGCTTTCTTTTCAGAATCTTTAGTTTTAAATCAATCATATTATTACAAAACATAATCAGTATATATAACTACATAATAGTGTGTGTGTGTGTGTGTGTGTGTGTGTATGTATGTGTGTGAGTGTTTGTGCTTAACGCAATTTTCAAAACTTATGAAACAGTAAAAATTTGCATTTAAATTAATTTAATAAAAACCATGCTAATATTAAATTTTTTAAGAATTTGCTTCTTTTCATTAGAGTTTAGTTTAGTTTTTTTCTTTTTGCTTAATTGTTGTTGGTTCTAGCTTATATACATATAAAAAGTGTTGATGTTGTTGTTTTTAAGGCGCATATGACAATTTTGGCCAGCGAGCATATATATATATATAAAACGATAAAGAAAAATTAACTAACTTAAATATTTAAAAAGCCATTTTTATTATTTTCTGTGCCATACAAAACAAAAAAATTCAACTAAAATTTGTTTATGCTTATGTTTACGAGCTAAGAAAACATGTTCATATATATATTTATATATTCACAAATATATATATGTATATATGTATTAAGAGAAAAGTAACTTGATTTAGTTTAATATTTTTTCATTTTTGTAATATCAATTAAAACTAGGCATAAATACAATGCTTAAATTGCCTAACGAAAAGCATTTATAAAGAAACCAAACGTAAATAATTGAGCATAAGGAAATAAGTAAATGATGTGCATAAAAAAGAGTAACTGTATATGATGTTGTTGGAAGTTTTCTTTTTTTTTTTTTTTTTAAACTTAATTTTAATAGCTGGTTTGCTGACGCTTTCCGTTCGCTTTATATTTAGTATACAATTTAATAATAATTATAATTTATAATAATAATAATAGTAATAATAATAGTTGCTAATTTGGCCTGACTTTCATTTAGACACGTTTGGTGGTGATGATGATGTTGCGGTTGTTGCTGTTGTTGTTGTTTCTGTTGGTGTTGTTGTTGTTGTTGTTGTTGATATTGGCGTTGCTGTTATCGCTACTGCGACTGGGGATACGAGACAGCATCGCGTAGAGTCTTAAGCCCCGCCTGCACATACCGAAACACCTCATGCATCGTGCTGTGCAGCGTCAGAGGGCCATTCTCGTGATCCAGCTTGCGTATGAAGTCTGCATAGAAATCAATAAAAACAAAATATACATAGTTAATAAGCGAGTGAAAATATATATTAATAATAATAATATTTTTCAATATAATTAAGTAATGATAAAAAAAAAAAAAAAACATTCTGCCTGAAGGCCTTTGTTGTTGCTCTGGCTTCAAAATTTGTTATTAGAAGTAATTCTTTGTAACAATTAAATAAATAAATAAATTAAAAAAAAAAAAAAATATATATATATATATATACATATAATATTATATTAAAATAATTTATATAATATAATAATGTTGATATTGAATACAATGTCTACATATATATATTATATATAATAATATATATTTAAATTAAAATACATAGTTGTACAATAAACAAGGCAATTTATATAAACAATATTTGGAATATTTTTTAAATATTCTATATTAAATATTTGTTTATATATTTACCATATAAATGGACAATGCTAAAGGACTTTCTTGGTTTGAGCTGCTCGTGGTCAAGTTAAGTGCACCCAAGCTTTAACTCGAACTCAGTTTGAACCAACGTTCATCAAGCGCTCAAGCAGTCAATCAGTCAGTCAAATAGTAATATCCAAGTAGTTACGTATACATATATAGTTTTAGCTGTACATTACCTATATGATTGCCGTTGCGCACCAAACGATCGGCTTGATCCCACAGCTCGTGAGCGCTGTTTACATAGGTGAGATACTCATTCTGCTTGCAAAGCATATTGTGTATGTCTTGAGGCACTATTTTGCCAGGCGGCGTATTCGAACCGGAGCCCTGATTGATAGCAAATAATGAATATGAATTTATTGATATATATTATATATAATTAATATTGATATCTTACCTGAGAGCCCACTGAGTTCGATGGTGATATGGAGGACGGCGTATTGCCATTCAGTATATCCCCCCTGCCAGAGCGAAAAAATTCGGTACAGCTGGCGATAATTGCACGACAATTGACGCGTCGCAATTTGTAAAGCTTTAAGGATATCAATGATTGGCAGCGCAAACTAAAGGAAGAGAGAGAGAGAGAGAGAGAGAGAGGGAAGATTAATGTTAAAAAAAGGTTTGTATATATATCCAGAGATATTACTCACCTGAGTATGGCCACAATGTTGTGCGATTCGTGATTTCCGTTCGTTGACAGCTGATACGGTCGATTCTTCGAGGAAATGTATCTGCGAAGACAAATAAATATGCAATTATAAAATTGAAATATAATAAATCAAGATTTCAAAATTCATGTAATTCATGTAATTCAATTATATATTAATGTTGCGTATAAATATTTTAGATTCTATTAAATTATTATTTGTTCTATTGAAAATATTTAGTACTTAAAATATTTGAATATAAATATAATCAATATATTTCGTTCTTTAAATATTTCATATTTAAAATATTCATATATAATTAAACTATGTAATGTTTTTAAATTTAATATTTGTAATAAAATAAAATAAAATAATTTTCCTATGTACAATTTTTTTTTGGCAAAAATATCAAAATATATGCTAAAATAATTCTTAAAAATATATGTATCTATCCCCCTTGACTGATGTTTTATATTTTAAATTTAAATCATCAAATTTTAATATTTTTAATGCTCTCCAAAATGAATTGGGTTTTTATATATAACTAATTATTGTAAATTGTAAATGATTAAGAAAATTTCATTTTAGAATTAATTCTTGATATATTATATTTGAATTTTGAATTTTTATACATTCGAAATCTGTTATGCTTAATTCTAATCAATTTTGAAAAATATAATATATTTGTCTATGTCTTAAATCTCAATTTTTAAACATAATATAATATTTTTATAAATTTAAATCTCATTATTATAATATTTAAAATTTATTATTATTTTTTTTAGTACTCCATTTTTTAATTTACTTAAAAATTGTTTGAAAATATTTCATCCTATATATGATTATTTATCAATTTTTTTTAATCATTTATTTATTTATTATTATTATTTTTTTTTTTTTAACTATTTTTATTTATGCAATCCGACTTCAATCTAAATAACACTAATAATTTATTTCACGTGAGTGAAGCTAATTTAATTATATTTTAGGTCTTAGACTTTTATATAAAATAAACTGAAAAGAGTTGGTCTTATGCTCTTAAAGCTATATTCCTTTTCATTTAATACCTGCAAATAAATCATAATTTTCTAAATAAACATTCACAGCTATTACGAAATACAATTTTAAAAACCTAAAGATTTTTTATTTCTTTTAGAAATTTTATTATATCAACTATAGATCTGCATCGCACTTTACTCACTTAATTAGCGACAGGGTGTCCTTGTACATGGTCCAGGTGGCCTCCATGTTGCAGCGCTCCATGGCATCGGCGGTCAGCAGGAAGTAGACAATCGCCTCGAGGTAAAGCGTCATCTGACTGAATGAATCACGTTCCGAATCGGCGGCACGTTTACGCCTGATCGCCTCCTGCAGCAGAAAGTCGTTTTTTCTATAAAGAGAAAGACGGGTTAACAAAACTGAGAACTAATGGAGGTAGAAGTACGACCGACTGGGAAATACCCAGACTGACTATCATTGCTAGATCAATTTCTCTAGGAGAAAATAGTATGGCAATGCAGTATGCCTAGTTGGGAAATACCCAGACCGATGCTCGGGGATTGATCACTCTCTCTGAGAAAATAAAGTACAGCCGATGATCGTGATCAATGCCTCTCTAGAGAGCGACAGACTTGCTAATCTAGTTGAGCTTTAGTTTAAGAGAAAAGAATATGACCATAGACTATGTCCAGCTGGGAAATACCCAGACCGATAATCATGAACAATTTCTCTCTAGAGAGCGACAGATTTGCTAATGTAATTGAGCTTTAGTTTAAGATAGTTTAAAAGAGTACGGCTATGGGGTATGTCCAGCTGGTAAATACCTTGTCTAGATCAATCTCAGCTCGTTTATCGATTGCTTTAATACATCAATGGCCATTGCTCACCTGAGATCGTCGTTTTCGTTCTCCTCCTCCTTGTCAAAGTGGGATCGATAGATGAGACGCGGCTCTGGCTGTGGCGCTGCTGGTGGCGGCGTCGTTTGCACCGCTTCGCTGCAGGTGGTTGGCAGTTGGATGGGCGCAGCGGCAACTGTTGCTGCCGCAGTTGTGGACTGTGACAGCGACTGTTGCTGCTGCTGTTGTTGCTGTTGCTGCTGTGATTGTGACAGTCGTGATTGCTGCTGCTGCTGCTGCAACTTGTTGGGACTGCCATTGGCGGCGCTCTCCTGCTGCTGCATGAGCAACTCGAGCTTGTCGCGCGATAACCGCTCGTGATTGTTGGCAGGCAGCAGCACCGGCACGGGCAGCAGCTCCTTGCTCAGCTGTTCGGCCTTCTCCTTTTTTCGCTTCTTCTCCTTGTAGGGGCTCGAACTGGAGCTGGAGCTGCGTTTGCGTCGACGCGCGGGCAGCTCCTGCTTGAGCATGAACTCCTGCTTAACGCTGTTCAGTTTGTACTTGCCCTCGTAGCCGGGTTCCAGCTCCGGCTCGGGCTTAACGCCATGCTCGTGCTTGACGCCGCCCAGCAGCTTGCTAGCCGCTGCACCACCCCCGGCTGCACCACCCACATACCCGTTGGGCGTGCAGATCTGCTGCAGATCCTTGGGCGTGCGTGCGCCTTCGGCGGACCGACTGCTGAGATGGCCGTTCTGCTGCGCCTTCAGTCTCTCTGGCTGGTGGTGGTGCTGCTGCGAGTGGTGCTGGTGGTGGTGCTGCGGCTGATGCTGTCCATCAGCTGCGTACAGTCTGTAGCTATTCTGATACCACTCGGGCGGCACTCGCGCCAGCTTGCTCAGATCGATTTTGCACATCAGCGATGTCAAGTGGGGCGTGGTGGTTCTTGCCGGCGATGCCAGTGTGGCGCCCAGCAGCTGTGTGGGCGTGGCACGCGGCTTAAGCTCTTTGGCCTGCTGTTGCTGCTGCTGCTGCTGCTGCTGTTGTTCCTCAGATTGATCGATGATGACAACCTGACCCTGTTTCTTGGCCCCGCCCTCTTTGGGGTTGAAGATGCGCGTCAGTGTGCATATCTTCTTCTTATCACTCTTGCGCTTGCCGCTGCGATGCTCGCCGTCCTCGTCGCTGCTGCTGCTGCTGCCGCTGCTGTTGCTGCTGCTGTCGCTGTTGCTGCTGCTGCTGCAGTCGCTGCTGCTCAAACGCTGCGCCGACTGCGGCAGCGATTCGGCCGCAAACTGCCCCAGCAGCGATTGTTGCTGTTGCTGCTGTTGCTGCAATTGTTGCTGGTGCTGCAATTGCTGCTTTTGTTGCTGCTGCTGCAGCAGCAACAATTGCTGTTGCTTGTGCTGTTGCTGCTCTTCCGTTTCGCTGCTGCTGCTGCTGTTGCTGCTGCTGCCAACGCTGTAGCGACGCTTCGCCTTGCTGCTGCTGCTGCTGTTGCCGGCCACGCCCACTTTATTGATTTTCACAATGCGCTTCTTGGCGGGATTCTGTGCAGACGTTGTCACAACAGTTGTTGCTGTCGATGCTGCTGCTCCTGCCGCGGCCGCTGCTGGCGTCTCACTGTCGCTGCCGCTGCTGCTGCTCGACTTGGTGCTGCTGCAACTGCTGCTGCTGCTGCTATCGTCGTCGCTGCTCAGCGCATCGGCACGATCGAGCTTCGCCGCCATCGTGGCAAATGTTGCTGTTGGCTTCTTGGTGGGCGTATTGCTATTGGAACTGCTGTTGCTGCTATGCTCACGCTTCCGCGTGCCCGCAGCAACAGTTGCCGGCGCCGTGCTGTTGCTGTTGCTGACACTGGCTTTGGCCAGCGGCTTCTTGGCTGCTGTCAACGTTGGTCCCTTGGCTTGCGAACTGCTCGCCGAGGCGCTGCTCAGATTTCCGCTCTGCTGCAGTTGCTGCTGCTGCTGCTGTTGCTGTTGCTGCGCCTGCTTGCGTGGCCTGCCGCGTCCCTTTTTAATTGCTGGCGCCGCCGCCGCAGCCACCGGCACCGCCACCGCGGCAGCAGCTGCTGCGGCTGTTGCTGCCAGCTCCAGCGCATGCTTCTTGTTGCTGCTGGCCGTGGGCTCGTCCTCGTCGCTGGAGTCCAGCGGCGCTGTTGCCGCCGACATTTTCTTTTTGCGCGGCTTCTTTTGCCGCGGCTTCGGCGACGCCGGCAGCGGCCCAATGGGCGTCAATGTGACGCTATTGGGCTGCACCTTGTGCTGCATTGCTTGCGGCACGCGCAGCACCGTTGTTATCGCCGCAGGTACGCCAGGTATTTGCAGTGTTTCGCCCGGGCCGGGCATCTGCAACACTTCGCTGCTGCCGCCGGCGCTGTCGGAGCTGCTGCTGCCGCTGCCGCTGCCGCTGCTGGCGCTGCCGGAGTCGGACAATCGGGACTCGCGTTTGATTTGGTTCTTTGGCAAGGCACCCGCCAGCGCCAGCTGCTCCGTGGTCAGCTGCTGTTGCTGTTGCAGCAGCAACTGTTGCTGTTGCTGCTGCTCCAGTTGCTCCTTCTTTACAGTCACACTCAGGCCATATCTCTGCTGTTGCTGTTGCTGCTGCTGCTGCTGCTGCTGCTGCTGTTGTTGTTGGCGATGCTGCTCATCCGCCTCGTCGTCCTCGTCATCGCCCACGTGCCGCGGCTCGTCGTGCAGCTTCTCGTTCTTCACAATCGCCGTGGTCACGTCGATAGACTCGGGTATGATCTGTGCACCGCCTGGCAGGATGCCCGGCACCTTCATGCTCACATTGCCTATGGCATTGGCCACGCCCGGCGACACACTCTCGGCGGCCGTCTGATTCGCTGGCTTGGGAAAGAAACGACTTAGATTCCAGCGATTGCTGTCCGTGGGCGAAGGCGTCTTGTTCGATGAGCTGGAGCTACTCATGGTGCCCATGCAGGAGCCGCTCGAGCCACCGCCGCCGCCGCATGTGTTGTTGGTGGCATTGATGGCACCACCAGCACCACCAGCGCCACCTGCAACACTGCCAGCACCAGCACCACCCAAGCCACTGGACGTGAGCAACCCACTGATTGTATTTGCTCCACTCGCAATTATCGTTTGGCTGTATTTCTTTTTGCTGCCATTGGCGCTGGCAGCGAGCCGTTGTTGTTGCTGTTGCAGCAGCAACTGTTGCTGCTGTTGTTGTTGGAGCAACAGCTGCTGTTGCTGTTGCTGTTGCTGTTGCTGCTGCTGCTGCTGCGTATCACCTTTGCTGCTTGCCTCGCTGCCCGATTCGCTGGAGTCGGACTCGGAGCTGTTGCTGCTGTTGCCAGCCGATCGACTGCGAGAGAGAGAGAGAGAGAGAGAGGGCGAGAAAGAGAGTGAGATTAGGGTATCCCAGCAGCGCTTGTAAAACTGTTATACTTACCCTTCCTTTTTGCGCTCATCATCTGATTCGGATAGTTCCAGATCGTTCTCAAGGCTGAAAGTTGAACAAATATGTTTTGCATTAGTCTCTCTGAATAAACTATTACGCTTAATAATGATATAATATTATAATAATGGTATATATTATTTGCCGTTATTATTTTTAAAATGTTTACCACAATTCCAGAATATCATCCATTATATCTCATTCATTATTCAACTAAAACCAATCAGATTTTGCCTTCTTATCTAAATGGTCTATATTTTTATTTTATTTTTTTAATCTTCAACTTAATGATATTTCATACATTTAAATTATTATTACTTTTTTATCTTCATCTTTATCATATTTCATCCATGTCCATATTAGTCCATATTTGAAAACAATCGTCATTATTAGTCACTTTTTACGAGTATTTCATTATCATTTTCTAAATTGCTTCCCCTTTAGTTAAATATTATTATCCACATTTACGCGTTTTGAATCAATCCCATCTTTCTAATCGTGAATTTAATACTTTCTTCCCCACTATCGAATACCTATTCCATTAATATCTGCTGTTAATTAAGTAATTTAATTAACCAACCCCACTAATTTCCAATTATTACACAATTTTTCTAGATTTAAATAAATAATTTGAATCACTATTTTCCAATATTACAAATTATTTTCTAACCTTTCTATAGCAATAGGCACTCCTTCTATATACTAACAACAGCATTTCCCATTCCATTTATTAACCTTCCATGACTTCAATCAATTTACCCTTTATTTATATATATTAAGATCAATATCTCCCACTACTATCGACTTCATATTACCCTGAGGTAGCACCTATCTTACTTACCTACTCAAAACAATTAAAAATAATGGAAAACATTAGATATATTTCCCAATTATTATAAAATTAATGGTAAACAATCGGTATGTCATTTAATAATACACAGCATAGCAGAATTATTTCTATTACCAAAATATGTCCCATTTGTTGATTATGACAAATATTTCCCATTATTCTTTCTACCTTTAGCCATTTTGTCCGTCATATTAGTCTTTCTTCTATTGCCATTACATTACATCCTCCACATGATGAAACATTCTCAATTACTTTCACTCTGCATTCCTCCCCCTATTTCCCACCTATTATCAATTACTCTCTCGAGTACATATTTTCCCTTTCCGCACTTACCACGAGTCCTGCTTCTCCAGCGAATGATTCTTTTCCGTTTTCATCGGCTTTATCGCTGGCGGCGTCGGCGACGCCTTTGGAGGCGTGGGCATCAGCTGCTGGATGGGCGCCACAGCAGCCATGCCCCCCAGGGCAGGCGGCACCGTTGTGGCGCCCGCCAGCGGTGCCAGCGGCAGAGGCAGTTGGCTGGCCTGCGGCGGCGTCGTCAGTAGCGGCGCTATGGGCGAGGTGATCGGCGCAATGGGCGCCAGCAGCGGCGTCATCAGCGAGGAGGCGCCCGCCGCCGGCGGTGAGTTGAGGGGGCCGATGGAATCAAATGCATACTTAAACTTATTGGGCCCATTCAGATTGTAGTTCTCGGACATGGGAGCGTGCGGCGTGGCCGCAATTGAGGTTAGCGGGGTCACGCGATAATTGTTGGTCATCTCGGTGATTATTTTGCTAATATCCTTCTGCAGGAGACGGAGGAAAAAAGGGAGAGAGAAGCGGAATTAATGTTTGTTAGCAATAAAAATAAATATATAAATATGAAATATTATGTATAAAATTTAATAAATAGCACAAATTTATTATCTAATCCAGATCCGACTATAGTTTTCTTAAGGTTTTCATAAAGCTAGAAAAGCTCTGGAGAGGATCTGATATTTCGGTATAATATATAATTTCTCTGTGTTGAATAAATATTTGTATAAAATGTAAAAAATCGAATCTTACGAAATCTTAGAAATGTCAGGCAGCCTAAGGATCTTCTAGAATAAAATTAATTTTTGGAAAGAATCTCGAATGTAGCACAATAACGATTTTTCCTTCTCAGGTTCACATATCTAATCCTTGTATTTTCGTTACACAGCGTACGTATCCTATAAACTACTTTAGTGGTGTAATATGCATTGAAATATAATAGGAAAAAAATAGAATAGCAAATTGTGGGTGTTTACTCTATCGCTCTGAGAGTAAAGGGAAATTGAATATGGTGAAATATTGGGTAAATAATAGGAAATTGTGGGTATTCCCACTAGCATTCTGAAATTAATTTTATGAATATATCCTCTATATTGGGTATATCCTTTATTATCATATTTTTCGACTTAGAGTCTCTTTGGACATTACGTTAGGGATTCTCCTACATTTCCATTTATATTTTTCATTAAATATCGGATAAGCTATGTCAAAAATAGACCACATACCTGCTTCTCTATATCTGTTCACTTGTCTGGACGTATTTTTGGCTATATGTCTATATATTTCAGCTAATGCCAGATAAATATTTCCATGTACTTTAATTTTTATTAAGAATTCCAATTATTTTCTGAATATTTTACAATAATTTATCGATACTTTTTCAGTGCTGATTTCTTTTCTTTTTAGACACATCAAAGTATTTAATTGTTCTCTAAGGCTATCTATCTATCTTATTCAATTTCAAGTCACTAAAATCATGGCCAACTAATCTCATTTCATTTAGTTCACTTCGATTTAATTATCGATAACTTACCTCTGGTGGCGGTGGCTGCAGTCCAACGCTATTGCTTGGCCGCTTACTGCTGGCCGCTGGCGGCACAAATCGTCCGCCGTTGGGCAGCGCCGGCGCCGGCGGCCCCAGAAACGATTTCTCGCGGCCATTCGGCATTTGCGTGGACAGGGGCGGGCCGAGGGGCGAGGACATGGACGCTGACGTCGCCCCCGATGTGGCATTGTTTGTGGCGCTGGACGAGTTGATGCTGTTGCTGTTGCTGTTGCTCTGGCTGGCGGACGATGACGATCTGGGCGGTCCACGTGGCGGCGCCATGCCGCTACTCGAGGGTATGTCATTCTTCATGGGCTGCCCGGGATAGCCGCCACGCCCATTGTAGGGCGGCTTATTATCCGCCTGCTTCAGATAGGTGGGCGCCCGCTGCTGCTGTTGATAGTGTTGCTGCTGCTGCTGTTGCTGCTGCTGCTGCTGTGATGTGGGCAGCTGGCCAGGCACCGAGGCGGATGAGGAAGCTAATGACGCAGCTGGGTTCACGGAGGCGGATGACGTGGAGTAGGAGTTGGCCAACGAGCTGCCACCGAACGAGAGCGCCGGCAGACGCGAACTGGAGGCATTCGTGCTGGCATGCCTGTAGATTCCCACCGTGGAAGAGTTCATATGGTCCCGGGCATCGATGAATTCGCCAAGGGCGGCCGTTATTTCCGCATCGCCCTCGCTGGGATTGAGGCGGCGCGGCTCGCCAAATAGACTAGTCTCACGATCATCGCTCTGTATGCCCTGTTGGCGTTCATATTTCTCGCGTTCGCGTCTTTTGCGCCGCTCGTTATCCTCCATGCTGCAAAGAGGTGAAATGTGTGTGTGGAATATGAAATTAAAGCTAAAGGTAAATGCATTTCGACCTGTTTAACAAACAAACACGACAACAACAACATCAGCAACAACAACAGTGGTTGCACAATTATAAATAACAAACAAACATGACAGGCAACAACATGAACAACAACAACAACAACATTGACAACAAGTAGTAGTAGTAGTAGTAGTAGCAGTGGAAGACGTGAAAGAGGGACAACAACAAACATGGCTCGGCAGTTGACAGCAGTTTGACATGCGCTGCGCTGCGCTGTGGGTGTTAATGTAAACAGTTGGACATGCATTGTGCTTGCAGCGCATTTCTGTTAGTTTTTGGCAGCAGTTATGTTTGCTAAGCAAATGTTTTTTTTCGTATAGGGATCACTTTTTATTCTTTATTTAATTAATATTATTATTTTGCGTTAGGATTTAAGACTTTTTTTCAATTTACAATTTTTTCTTTTTAATTTAAGTTTTTTATGGATTTATAATTCTTGGACTTTAATTGCGTAAATTGTCAATAGAATAGTAGAAGTTTGTATATTATAATGGCAAACATATAAAAACACACATACATATACAAAAACCAGATTTAAATTAGCTTTTAATTTATTTAAATGTTTATATTACATATTTAATTTTAGAATTTTATATAAAATTTATTATTTCAATTTAAGTTAAATATAAGTTGTTTTTTTTTTTCAATATAAATTAGCTAAAATATGAATGAAATTGAAATTTCAAATTCAAATTAACATATTTCCCCTGAATATTCGCATGAATATTTTTTGCACGTGCAGTGAGATAGAAAAGCTTTCAGCTCTGTTAGGCGTAAACAGTTTGACATGCACGCAAGCACGGTTTGATGAGCATGTAAACAAAGCCTTTGATTGTGGAACACAGAGAGAAGGGGTAGCATGTATACGATGTATGTGTGCATATGCGTATGTGTGCGTGTATATCTGCGTATGTCGTGTGTCTGTATGTGCTTGCTTGTGTGATGTAAACGCGACAGTTGTTTAATTTAAATATTTGCCTTGACATTTAAAAGCTTTGGGTTTGAGCTTTAGTTAATAAAACAAAGCCATATTTTTTGTTCGTGCCGCATGCTAAAACACACACACAGAGGGAGCATATTGAAACAAGCGAGGGAAGTGAGAGAAGGGAGAACGGAGAACGGAGAAAGGAGAAAGGAGGCGGGGTTACACAGCGCAACGCAATGACTCTCAAAACTTACTTATAATTCAGGTTGTACAAATTGTTATTGTACTGCAGTAGTTGTTGTTGCTGTTGCAACAGCAGCTGTTGCTGCTGCTGATGGTGTTGCTGCTGCTGGTGTTGTTGTTGTTGCTGTTGTGCCATAACGCGCGCTTAATATAAATATTTTTTTAATTAGTTTTGCCGGCAACGCGCACACATACAAGCAAAACATATATATACACACACCCACACACACAAGCAAACGCACGAAGGGAACGAAAAACGATTAAGAAAAAAATTAATGTTACGTGTGAGTGTGTGTGCGTGTGTGTGTTGGACTAAACAGAAAGTGTTTGTAAAAGTTTGTCGCGCTCGCTTTGTCGCTCGTTCTCTCGCTCTTTTTATCTCATCCAAAAACGCTCTCTTTGCTTTGACGCGCTTAGGTTATCGTTGTAATTCTGCTGCTCTGTCGCCAGCAGCGGCGTCGCGGCGCTTTGTATTGTTTGTTGTTGCTGTCTTCAATTTCTTTTTGCGCTGTGTTTGGTTTACTCTTTGTTGCTGTGCTTGTTGTTGCTGCCGCAGTGTGTGGCCGCAACATTTTCGCTGTCATTTGCTGTTGCTATTGCTCTGCTTGTGGGTGTCTATCTCTCTCTCGCTCTCTCTTTCTCTCTATTTCCTTTAAGCACTGGCCATTTAAGGTTTTGGAAGCACTGCGAGCGTCTTTTTGTTTAGTTTTGTATTTAGTTCGTTGCGTTTTAGTCAACAACAAAAATGATGTACGAATTATGCGAGTAATAGTTATTGTTCTTTTTTTTCATGTTCTCTTAACAGCCTTTTCAGTTTAAATGCCGATTTCATCTGTTGTTGTTGTTATTTTGATTAACTGTGAGTCTTTACATTGCTTTGTGTGTTGTATTGAAGTTGTGTAAGTGTGCCTGTGTAATTTGTGTGACAAAATGTAATGTTGTAGTACCTGCAAAGAGAAAAATAATTCCAAATTAATAAAACTGCATTCAAATTTCAAGCTTACAAACTAAAAATAGACAAACAATTTAAAGCTTAGCCAAATGCAGTCAATCCACACAGCTCACGATGGAGCCCACACATTTTTTAAATTAGCAGAGAATATCAAGCACGCGAGAGACAAGGATAGAGCATGCATCGTTACTTCCCATTATTGAAGAAGAGCGAGCTGTTACCCGCGCTCAGCCACACTCACTCACACTCACATATGCACACGTGCAGGGATTATGGAGCTTTGCTTTGCTTTTGCTCTTCTCTCTCCGCTCTTCGCTCAACCACTAGCAACAACAGCAACAACAAAATGGCGTCAGACTAGCGACTGAAAGTGTAATGCTTAAATTCACTTAGTTTGCCAAAAACTAAGCAGCAGAGCGAGTGAGACGGAGGCAGAAGCAACGGTTTTTTAGAAACAAACTTAAGCTCTGCTTTAATGCAGCACCTGCTGATGCATCGAAGAGAGAGCAACAGAGAGTGAATTCAATTAGTGATAATGGAACTTCAAAAATTGAGCTCGCATACATTTTGGGGCTATTATGCCTTTAAGTGCATGTAAAAGTAAAAATTTCCCAACAATAAGACAAGTTTATAATCTACATTTGAAACAATTTTTGTAATATGTAAATGAGATTTAGCTTTAATTTTCTGAAACCACAAATCAACTGAGAATTGCAAAATAGATTTAAGAGCAATTGCTGCAACTTTTGTTTAAATAACTGAACATTAAAGCCAAATCTCTTTCGATATATGCGAAAGAGAGCGCAACATAAGCCACACAGACAGCAACAAAATATATAAATTAAAGGACAGCAAAAACTTTGTCAAGCCGTTTGCTCAACTCTGTCCAGCTGTCCGTCTGTCCGTCTGCCTGTTGGTCTGTGGCTGACTTCTTCATTCATTTTTCTTGTGCGCATAAACTACTTGTTCGCACTGTGTCCATAAGGCATGGCCAGAGAAATAAAATAATTAAATGCTCGTCCTAGCTGGATTTGGACTCTGTTTTTGGCTCCAGTTGAGATGCTAACAAAATTTATAAGACAAATAAATTTTAACAGCAGCAAAAGCATAAAAACACACAGCAGATTTGTGGCTCTCTGTGGCCCTCTCTCACTCTCCCTGTCCACTTTCCCTCTCTCTCTCTCTCTCTGTCTATCTGTCCCTCCATTTCTTTGGGCAACTGTAAAAGGGTCAACATTGTGCGTCTGATGTCCCGTTTTTGATTGTCCTGGGACCAGAAAATTAATTTAACTGACACGTTTTTCATTCCGGATACATAGATACTACATACACATTGTATATATAAAATGTACTTTTTCTCATAAATAAAATTCTGTTGCATACGGCAAGGCGTTGGACAACAGGGCGAAATTTTCTATGCAATATAAAACATTTGATTTGTTCCACTGAGGCCAACCAGCTGCGCTTAGCGCTTGAGTAATTAAACATTAATAATAATTTAGAATGGGAAAGCGTGTTCCCCAAAACTTTATTCAGCTGCTACAAATAGTTAATCAACTCGTGATTAGTAAAAAAAAAAAAAAACGTACAACAACAAAAAGCAAAAACAAACCTATGGTTTCAAAAGTTTTATCGTCTGTTTTTGTAGCTAAAAGAAATGGAACGGGTAGAAATAACATTTCAAAAACATGTGACACTTTGTTTCCTATAACCTCAAAGACCTACAAACCTAATTTAAACAGGGAGTAGGGTGAGGGAGCTTAGAGAGCGGAATGGAATTTTGGATATTAAATTAAAGCATATTCCATTTTTATGAACAAATCTATTTCTCTGTCACTGAAATTGCATTTTAATATGGAAGTTGTGGCTGCTTGTATACGAATTTTTATTGTACGTGAGGTTGGGTGATGTTTTAAGTGGAAAATAGGGTGGTTAGGGAAAAGTGCAAAAAGAGAGACAATGTGTATTTCTCAAAGAGGTAGCAAGAGTTATGTAGGACTTGAATGCAACCAGTAGATATTTAGTCTGAAAGAGAAAGACAGAGTGAGACAGGGAAATAAAGGGGATATAAAACGTAAGAGAGAGAGAGAGAGAGAGAGATAGAGAGAGAGAGAGAGAGAGAGAGAAAGAGAGATATTTCTAGATAGGCGAAAACAGATATGGAAAGAGGGAGAGAGGGAGAGTGAGTGAAATACAGAAAAGGGAAGAGAAGGGTGAGAGCGATAGTGATAGACACATATATATATAGAGAATGTGTAAGAGAGAAAGAGACAGAGGCAGAAAGAGTGAGACAGTAATGAGCTAGCTGAAAATAGAGTTTATAAGAGAAGAGAGAGTGAGAGAGAGAGATAGATGCAGAGAAATGCCACAGAAAGCAGACATTTCCTTCTATAGCAATGCGATATACCAGAGAATTGCTGTATGTATGGATACCTCTACATATGTATAACAAGAATTATAAATTTACAAATAATATATTTTGCCATGTGATATAAATTCTTAAGGACAACTCAATGGCAAAATACTTCCTTCACTAAATTTTCATGAACATATATCAAAAACTCTTTTCATGCCGTGTAAATTAATCCACCTTCTTATTGATTACAAGAGGTTGCCGAGGCTTAAGCGCATGTTCGTTCGTATTTACTTTGTAACGTTTGCAGAACTGAAGAATATATAAATATTTATATACGTACACACACTTCTATATATATATAAATTGAAAAAGCCTTGGCGAACTGTTTGTGGCCTAAAGCATTTTCAATTTTTGAGTTTTCTACCCAAAATCGAGGGGTTCCCCATTTGCTCCACACTGGGAGCTTACTGTTCGCTCGCACATGTCTATTTATTTACGTTTGATTTTTCTTATATTTTCCAGGAAGTGGCATGGGCATGGGCATGGATCAGAGACAGGGGCAGGGGCAGGGGCAGGACAACAGAACAACGGTGCGGCTGTGGAAGCGGTAAATATGATGACGATGTGGCGCAGTTGTTTACCGCTTCTTTGCCTACTTATGGGAAGAGCACAGCTTCCCTTCTCGCTCTCGCTCTCGCTCTCCCTCTCCCTCTCCCTTTCTCTCTCTCTCATAACTCGTCGGATATCAGGCGCATCTAGGTACGGCCCCGACTGGGGCATATGTTATGAATTTTATGCAAATATGTTACGCCTCTCGTTACCAATACAGCTCGCTCCTCCTCATACGCCTCCCGCAACACGCCACCGCCCACGCCAACCAGGCAGAAACTCTGGCAAAAAGTTAAAGAAAATTCGCCATGTGTGCGATTTTCTTTAATTTTATTTTATCCTAGCTGTTTTTTCACAGTGTTTGCCATTCTATTAACATTTAAATCATTTTTCAGCTTGACTCCTTAAGCTACGAAAGGGTCGACGCCTGTGTTACGGCTGCATATTGTTGACATAACTCCTGCGATATGACTCTGAGACAACGAACTATCGAAATCTGAGAAAATGGAAACTCTGGCTAATATATAAAAGTTCAAGGAAGCACAAATGGGACATACATGGGAAATACTTTTGAAAGAGTATTTTGTTCATATGTATCCGATAGAAATGATTGATAAATTATTTTGCATTCAATAAGAGCGTTATCAAGCCTAATATATGTTTGCCTTTATAGTAAGAATTAAGCTAATATAAGAAAAATAATATATATACTTTAACAAATATATTCTAAGTTACTACATAATAAAAAAAAACCTTCAAAAATATTTTCTTATACTCAAAGTCAACAATATTTAGTAACCTAAATTACTTAAACCCTATTAAATATTTTAATACATTTTTAATTTTTCTTAAATTTTTATAAAATACTTCCTCAAACTCACATCTAAAATTTGTTATTTATTTAGCCATTTACTTAAAAAGCTTTCTCTGCTAAATATAATTCTCTTCTTCAAATCAAATCTTTACGTAATTCACGTAAAGCTTTACGCCATGAAGTATGCAAGTCTTGATTTGACAATGAGCTGAATTTTTCTTTTTTTTTTCGTTCGTTCTTTTGCATAGTTTCTGCTGAGGCACGTCATGAATCATTTAACAACTTGCGCAAACATTAAATTACGCATGAGAATCCTTTCTCTTTTAT